AGCTCTCTCAGCCCGTGATTGATTGTCTCCCCCATCCTCGTGGTTCATCTGGTTATTGGAGGCGGGACACAGCATGTTGTCCAGCGGCATTGAAGCCCTGGGCATGGACTGTGAATAGGCATGCTCTTGAGAGGCCATATCTATGGAAGTCGTTGATCCTCTTCGCGGGGGATCACTATCTCGGATCTGGTGGATGCTGCTGGAGAACCTTGGAGCTGAAGGCACTGACGTCGTATAAGCCGACTGTCGTATCGAAGCACGTGGCCTACGCAGAAAGTCAGCACGGGAGAGGATAGAGAACACGGAATTGCTTACGCTGACCCAAACGCGCAATCACGGTCGAGATTTTTACACACTGTACACTTAGGAAATTTAGAGTCACACTTCATCTTCTTCTCCCGGCAATGGTCGCACGACAGCGAGGCCGCGCGCTTTTTCTGTTTGCCACCTTGAGCGGAGCCTTACGTGGAGTTGGTGCCATTGCCATCCGAGTTCTTGGAACAAATGGCACCGTCCTCATTGCTGTGGTAGCTACCTGGGCCGTCGATGATTTCTTCGTCCACAGACGCCCGACCAGATGCGTGACCAACTATTGCATTTGTTCCACGAGAACCAGGTGGGGCCGATTGGATTTCTGAACGACCCGTGGCTGGGTAGGACCAAGAGTGACAATTCATGGTATCAGACTGGACATGTGAGGAACGGGAAGTGGCGAAGGCAGGTGTGGACGTATGCACATCGGACGTTATCAAGGTGTTTGGTCGAGGGGCATGTTTGCCCACCGAAATACTGCTTAGCAATGCTTGTTCCCCTTCTCACCTCTTCCCGACGGGACTGGCCAAATTGATTAGGATTGTGGGCTCTGGCTAGGAGTGAACTGAAGGATGGTAGACTTTGTTGTTGTGAAAGGGAGCCTCCCGTCGGCGGCTGGGCCATTGGGCGCGGCAGCCGTCCCGACGAGTCCGGTAGGGGTTGACGGCGTGGTGCGTTCAGTTCAGTATCGTGCCACTCTTGCATTCGGGATTCTAGAGGTAGCACAACGCCCGTTGCCATTTACCCGCCTTTCGGTTACTATGAGCGGTTTCGTTAACCAGGAACGGCCCCTACGCCCGGGCACGCCAGTCTCCCTGACTTGGCCGAGGGCGGTCCGTCGAGCAGTGAATCTTCCGAGTCTGGCTTGGGAGACGGCGAGATACCCTTGGGAGAAGTGCTGATGGGAATAGTCTTTATTGTCCTTCAAAACCTCGACGGCAGTACTAGAAAGTGGTCCTCGTAAGCTGGATGTTTGCCAGATGTGCTGTTGTCCTTCAGCGCCGAGCACCAATAAATTCTCAAGACATGCCTTATGGCAAGAAGGCCACTAAAACGGTCGCCGCGAGTTACACAGAAGGCGATAGATGGGAATGAAGGGCAGTTGGCCATTGATGCAGATATTGTACCACCCCAACGGCGCTGGCCTGTACCATATGCTGCAGGTGATGTCTCGTATCCCGACGGGTTTACGCAGTAACTGTGCGCTGGTGAAGCGATAATGGAATGTCAGCGTGTTTTATTGCGAAGAGTAAGCTAGTAGAAAACCGAAACCCGAATGAAAGAAAGCCGTTGACAGGTTGAAGATAGCCTGGTGTACAAGGGACCCGTTGAGTGTGGGTACGAAACTTAGGGGCCTTCAGTACATTCAAGAACTTTTTTGTTGGCCCTTAGAGCAGAGAGAAGAAGCCTGAAGAGTACACACATGTAAAGTCAGCGAGAAACCCTGTCGCGTGCGGTGTACTGTAACTAGTTGCCAACTATTTACGCACCCACAACCACCACCAACCAACCACTTTTCTGCTTTAATTACTCTATCAAAATGGTCGCAAATCGTCCAGTAACACCTAGAGATGAAGGAGAGGCCTCGGGGAACGCTCAGAACCCATCACCAGTTAAAGAAAAGGTGCGGACGTTGACGCAATTCTGGCGGCAAAAGGACCTCGGTGTTAGCCAACAGGATATCTTCAAGTTCTGCCACGTTCCTCCACGCACTGGATATCGCTATATTGCAGATGGTATATTAGAGATCTCGCCTATTGTGAGAAGTCATCACAACCTAATTACATTTCCCAGCGGCAGCCGTCTTCTACATCTTATTGCCATTCCATCAATATTTCATTTCTCAGGAATACATAAACTTAATTGTACTTCTGTAATGACGCCTCTAAATAGACCTAGTTTATCTTCGCTGTTAAAGTGAGTTGCTTGAACACCTTTGGGAGTGTTAAGAGAAAAGTCATTCTTCGTGATAGATCCATAAACCTGTTCTGTGAAACTAAGCTGCAGCCAACTTTTGTGGAGTGATTTAAAACATCGAGGGTTGAGAAGGACTTTATCCGGCAGGGAGGATTGACGTTGAAGGACCGTAAGGGCCGCCTGCCGGACGTGCCAGTCTTTATGGTCAAGTCGTGCAGCCACCTTCTCGACACTCTGGGAAGACAACGAGGATTGACCTTGAAGGACCGTAAGGGCTGCCTGCCGGACATACCGGTTTTTATGGCCAAGTTGTGCAGCCACCCTCTCGACAC